GGTGGGTACGCCATTCAAGTTTAGTGAATTTTTTGGCTTGAGCTTAGTGAGTTAAATAGTTTAACAAGTTCCTTGATCACGAAACTCTGTTCAACAACTTGGTACTATTGGCCCATTACGATACCTATCTTGTGCCTGATAAAGTGATTTCTTTCATCTTTCCAAATGTCCAAACCACTTGAAAGAGATTAATGACGTCTAACGATGCAAGCTACAATGAGAGCTTGGTAGTGAGAGAGGTAGTGTTTCACCGATGCCTTCTTATACATATATGTTCCTTAAACTGCGGGAGCAGTTCTTCTACCTATGAGTCTCCATAAGTCAGTATACGGTTATTACGCCGGTTTTTATGCTTATGGTGGTCCGGTTTAGAAGGAGTAGAGACATAGTTCTGTTTATCTCAATTAATGCCCATATTTGTCTTCCCACGTGGTCTCGCTCTGCCTTTTGCTGGCGAAGGCTAGCGTTAGCAGATACTTTGCCAAGGAAGGCGGTATGCATACGTCATGATAGAGTTTACCGTGGTTAGGTCAGTTCCGTCTCTGGCCAGTTCGTCGGCAGTTCCCAGCATAAGCTTGAAGTTTTTCCGTAGTTAAGGGGATTTTATGTACGATGGAAACGGCGCTTTGTAATCGTTGAAGCGATTTTCGGCAGAGCTCTTCCGCCGGCTCATGCTGTGCGTCTTGAAGTTTTTATTTGGAACAACTGGGGGAATATTAAGTTTATTCTAACACACCTTCGAACGGCCGCTGGATTTTTATGAGGAACTTTTTATTTGAAACCAGAAATACTCTTAAATGGATGACTTTGGGCGACCGTAAATAGAAAAATTCATTTTCTATTATTTTGGATGTTGGTTGGAAGAAGGGTCGAACTCTGGCCAACCGAATCTTAGTATGCAAAGCTAACAACGAGGCTACAGCGGCCGCCAGAGGTTGTTAATTTTAGCGAGTGCGTGACCAGTTGAACAGCAATACTTTTCTTTTAAGGGTTCGAACTTCCAATGCAAGATAATCCTTTTTACGTTTGCTACGATCGTCAACAAAATTGGTACTTCTCATTATACAAGCTGCATAAACGTTTACATTGGAGCTGCAGCCGACGTTGTGAGTCTCAAACCCAGCAAACATCACAACACAACTTATATATGTATAATATTTGTATGTTTCTAACAACTTTCATTTAATCCCACATACACTTTTCTTCTAGAAAACCACGCTACATGTTATCGCTTAAACGTTATACTCATAAATATGCCTTAAAGCCTACACTCTCGAGTGCCAACAGCCTGTTATTAAACATACATATATTGAAATTTAAGACTAATTGCACTTTATTGCATGTGGTTGCATGCCACATGGCTCCTCACTGGCATGTGCTCTTATAAATATGCATACTAACCGACATACAGAGTATTCACACACACGCGCACACAATCGCAAGTGGAAGGTAACTAACTAACGGAGACTATGCACTTATTTAAAATAACAAGCTCACATGCATACTTATGTATCTATGTATGTACATGTATACTTAAGCATACAAACATACTTGTTATATTTGCTTTATATTGTTATTGCTTTTGTTTTTGTTCTTGTATGTATATTTAACATGTTCCTGGTGATAGTTCGTGCAATTATTTGCCCTTTAAAGGATTGAGGTAGTAAAAATTTTCCCTCCACCTGCAACAAGAAAAACAAACAACAAGCATAACTATATACATATGTACATTGACGTATATAAATATATATGTATGTATGTATGTTTTTATGAAAACTCACTAACTACACTTACCAAGTAGCTCAACCATACCAACCAACCAAGTTGTGAGTATGTCGGCAAATATTTATGTATGTATTTAAAGCAAAATAAACTGCAAAACAATAAGCAGGACACTTAGTTAAAGGGGTGATATGCAAATGTCCTTCACGATTGTACGTTTGTATATATGTTATTTTTGACATGCATTTGGTGCGTATATGACTTAAGTATGTAGTAAATAGATATGTAATCATAAAAGTATACACTTAATTCACTGCACTTGCATGTGTAAAAATTTTATGCAGGACTTTGCCTTAGTTCGTAGTCCTGTGTGTTGTTGTACTCATGTGTGCATGTAGGTGTACATACATCCATACAAACATACATATCTAGTTGACTCACACTTTATGCGGCAACAGCTGTCAACTGTTTTAAGTAATATTGTTGATGTCGTTGCCGTCAACACCGTTGTTGCTGTGGCTCAACAATACCGCTAGATGTGGTAACATCGTTGTTGTAATGTATTTGTCTTAATGAACGGAGGGTGACATAAACACAGTCTAATAGTAAATGCAATTTTGATGGAGGAAAGTTTAAAAACACATAAATGTATTTGAATGAGGGGAGCTACATATACACATATGTATGTATACTGGTGCATGAATATCGGGGAAAACTATCTACAATGCAAATGTATACAAGTTGTTCCTATAAATATGCAACAAATATATTATACAATATTATTAAAAAGGTTTTGTGCATACTGTTATTATTATTAGCTTAAATCTGGCAGAAAAATGCATGCATATTCTTGCATAAAAAATATTCAAATATACTACTTGAAATTAAAATTAAAATTAAAATTAAAATTAAAATTAAAATTAAAATTAAAATTAAAATTAAAATTAAAATTAAAATTAAAATTAAAATTAAAATTAAAATTAAAATTAAAATTAAAATTAAAATTAAAATTAAAATTAAAATTAAAACTAAAATTAAAATAAAAAATTTAAAAAAATTAAAGTTTAAGGCTTATGGTCATCAGATAAAGCACAGTCTGTACGTGAACATATGTATCTCAAAAAATAAAGATAAGAAGTACGTAATCTAAGCATGAATATCCCTGAAATATATGTATAAAGACAACCAAAGTACGTCAAAACGATACATATTTAAATATGTATACATTCATATACAGATCTAAACGCACTAACTCATTCCTTTTCTCTGTTACGAAAGTGTAACAAAGAAAACGTAAAGCTAACACGCGCCTGCGATGAAGATTGATGGAAAACGGAAAATAATTACAAAGAGAGAACACTATTTTCTTCCATTCAAACAACGAAATCGGCCAAAGAGCTTAAGGAGCAAAATGTGCAAAGAAAAATCAATACAAACAACTGATAATAAATGAACAGCGACAGATAAATGTAAATTGCCACCGCGCTCACGAGGGAGGAACATAGAAAGCAAAATAAAAAAAGAAGCAAAAAGACAACAAAAGTGTTGTCCAATCCATTTTCTCTTATTGTATTTATCACACTTTTTTGACATTTACCCACCTAAAAATGCCAACACAAAAGGGAAACCACAAAAACACCGCCTCGCGCACATCCTAACCACGTTAGACGTCAACAGAGCGATGACATTAGCAATTGCGGTCGGAAGTAAATGGTAGCAACCTCAAAGAGTTTAAGAGAGAGCTGCTACATACGTGTATGTACATATGTATGTATGTATGTACAAACTAAATTATGCGCTTCTCCCGCAAGAGTGGCCTTAAAGGAAATGAAAAGCGTAAATGAAAATTTCCACGATTGCGAGGAATGCTCTCGTTTAATGAAAATCCCAAACGAAGCTCTCACGAGTAGCCGCCACTCGTAAAGACACTTTGCCCGTTATTTTCATATAAATTTTCGTCTTTCGTTAGTTTTTCTTGGCTTTTCGACGATGACGGTTCGGCAACGGTGAAAATTTCTAAAGAGTACGAGAGAAAAAAAAAATAGAAAACGGTACACGACCAACTGTGGCCCGGTGCGCGATTAATAGATATACCAGCAGCAGCAGCAGCAACAACAACAGCAACAACAACAACCAATACAACCAACAACAGCAATTAACTCGTAGAATAACAACAATTCATAAGACAACAACAATAGCAACAACATCGACGCCGCCACCGACAACTACAACGACGACGACGACGACGACGAACCGCAGCAATAACAACAACACACAACATACACACACACACACACGAAACGAACGATAAATAGACGCACATACATACATACACACATAAAGATATACACCCAGTACATATGGATATACATACATACGAACAGATTCACCGTGTGTTTTATATATAGAAAATTTACGCACAGCTGAAAAATTTCGTTTTTAGTTAAAATCGTGAAAATTTCAGTGCTCGCCGTATTGCAAAGATTTTTCATAGTGAATCGTATTTTTATTTTTTTTTTCCTTTGGCCTTTTCGATGTTGAATTTCTGTAATTGTGCAATAGCAGTTGAGGAAAGAAAAAAATAATTTATACCTCAAGTGAATTGTTTTCGAAAATCTGGGTATGTCAAAGTTGAAATGTAGCTGCTGCTCACGTTCCTACTCATCCAACTCATCATTCTGCTGTTGCTGCTCTTTTGTTGTTGCATACCAACGTTCGTCGTCTCGTCAACACTTCATTTTTCGGGACTCCACCCAGTTTTGTGGTCAAGGAAATAATAATAATAGAAATAATAATAATGAAAAATTAGAAAATTGTGTAAAAAATGCTTATTAGTTTTAAATATAAAACAAAGTAAGGAAAAAATACGAAAAAAGTAAACAGAAAAAAAATTATTGAAAGAATCATTCGGCAAGCAAGCGAAAACACATTGTGTCTGGCTAAAAGGGCTAATGAGGCCATAAATTCGTGCATATTTACGTACATACACACTCACATATACCTATACATACATATATATATGTATCTGATAGACCATACGTGTGTGTATCTCCTTTGCAGTGGTGCGTGTATATGCGTGTTGGTGTGCGTTTTATAAGTTAATCAGTTTATCAGATTTGTGTGTTCAAGAAGAAAGAAAAGTATCTACAAGAAGCCAGTAAATATTTCGTAAAAAATTCACCTCTCAGTTTTCTGTGTTAAGAAAGTGTACTTACATACGTATATACATAAATGCACACTTTATAATAATATATTGCATTGTATTGTATTGTATATAGATATCTACTATAGAAAAGTACCTATTAAATAGCTATACGTAGATATATATAATATAAAACTTTCACATATACATACATACATACATACAGACATACGTAAGACATACAAGCAAATAATATTTCAGTTTCAAGTGTCGTGAATTCAATTCATTTTTGTTAAACTTGTGTTAGCCGCGCCGTACGCGACGCCCCGCTGCGCCCGCAATAGCTGGGAAAATGCTAGAAAAATGCCCAAGATGCTTACTACATGCGACAAGTTGATGACACATTTTACCGTTATTGTGACCGCATTCCTGCTACTCCATTGCATCGGTTTTTCACCGTTTACACCGCTAACGTTGCGTGGCGTACAGGCCACTCCCGAGGATGAAGCGTAAGTTTAACAAGTACACAATGTAATCATAATAAATAATAATACTAATAATAATTAAAATAATAATAATAATGTTGAAGACAAAATTAAAAACAAAAACAAAAACAAAAACATAAGCAAAAACAAAGAAAAAAACATATACATACATCTGCAAGTAAATGACGTTTCATGCGCGCAATTTTTCTCATTTTGCGAATGTTCTCAGCGTGCAATAGCCTCGTACATACGTATATAGCATATATACGTACACGCATATTTCTAATATAATATCTTACTATTATTCATCACCCACAATTATAAAAACTCCAATTGATACCCTTTAATTTATTAAAATAAAAAAATTTTCAAAGAAGCTACATATATATTTATGGAGGGGCAATCCATTTCGTGGTCCCTACCATTTTAAAGAAAAAAAAAAGAAAATTCAAATTTTAAAATTTATCATTCGAAAGCACATTCATTGGCATTTATTTTTGAAATATTATCTCTTTCAAATGTTGGCCGCGGCTACGTCTCAGTTGGTTCATCCGTTGAGTTCTATTTCCAATGACTCGTTCGAGCATTTCGACTGGTAACTGGGGAATGACAAGCGTGATGTTTTGCTTCAAAGCCTGAATAGAAGCGGGATTTTCCGCATAGCCTATACACTTTACATATCCTCAAAGGAAAAATTTAATTGTGTGATATCACACGATCTTGGTGGCCAATCGACCGTCTGAAAACGTAAAATCATCCACTCCCCGTAATATTCTCTCCATCAATCCCTTGTTTGATATGATATGTGGGAAATGACACCGTCTTCCTAAAACCAAATGTCGCCGAGATCACGAGCGTCAATTTCAGGTATCAAATAGTCGCGATAACGGTCGCCATTGAAGGCTACGTTCACACCGGCATTATTTCTGAAGAAATATGGATCGATAATTCTCCGGTCCATAAACCACACCAAACCGTTATTTTTTCTAGATGAAATGGCAGCTCTTGAATCTCCTCAGGTTGCTCTTCATCTCAAATGCGCAAATTTTCCTATTTTTCCATACCCATTGCGCCAGAGATGGGCCTCGCCGCTGAACGAAATTTTACTCAGAAACGTAGCATCTTCTTGGAACTTTTCAAGGTCATGTGGCTTGGGAAGGTCGAGCGGCTTCAGTACTTACACAAGCCGTCTTTTGTATGCTTTCAATTTCAGATCTCGACGTAAAGTGCGCCAAGTCAATCCAAATATCAGCCCAAGTTGCTGCGAACGGCTCCGAATTGACTCTCCACTGTCTTCCTGTACACTCTCAGCTACGGCCGCTATATTTCCTCTATTGCGGGATGGACGTAGTGTATTCGGTCGAATATTATCCAATAATGAATGCTGGGCCCCAATCTGGGTAATGGTGATGCGAATAGTACGCTCAGTACAGCGATTATATTGACCATAAATTGAGCGAAGGGCGCGAAACACATTCTTTGCAGAACTTTTCATAATTTTCGTAATAAAATTAAACCAATTGTAAACGTTCTTCAGGCGATTGTCGTGAAGTCTTTCCATGATGAAATGCCAAACTATAATGAAGGAAAACAATATGACAGCTTGACATGACTTACGAGGGATCTGTCAATAAAAGTCTATTAAAAAACGTACCTCTACTTGGATTACCCGTTATATAATTGGCCCTGAAGAGAATTCTAGTGCCCGCAATACCCAAGCGGTTAGTATTGCGCACTGCTATTCGGAAGTCCAGGGTTCGAAGTCCTGGTTCGAGTCCTGGTTGGGCCAATGTCCAAAATTATAAAAAAATTAAATTTTCTAATTGCGCTCGCCCATCGGCAGGGAATGTCAACCCCTCCGAGTGTACTTCTGACATGAAATAAAGCTCCTCATAGAAACACCATCCGCCATCCGGAGGCGACTTCTAATAAACTGACGGTCGATCCATTTGTGGAAAAACATCAAGACGCCTAGTAGATTTGAGAGCTCGCAGCTCGGCTGAAAAGCGCTTCAACGATTACGAAGTGGCTTGGTTTTCTTAATTTTTTTTTTTTGCAACCTCACAGCTCTCCACTAACCGTTACACTCTCCTTAAGGAAATATCAATGAAGTAAAAGGTTTTCCAATACGAGGTGTTATTTGGATAAGCTCTGCTATTCCGATCGAAGTTCTGTAGTCGTGAAGCAACTTGTCGTGACGCAATACAGAAATTGCTGGTAAAAATGGAGTTGTTGGGACAATTTGGTGAGTTGAAGAATAAAACACGTGCTCGTCGCTCACGAACAACTGAGTTGAACAAAACCCAAGGTTTGTCCATTCCTCGTCGTTTTTGAAGCTGGGTCTTCCACAGACGTCATTACACCGTATTTAACATAAAGAATTCGGTATTAAGGCTTATAAAGTTTAGCTCAAGCCGGCCGATCATCAACAATGTCTTGGCTTTGCTGCTTGGGTCCTTGAAATGTAAATGATCCGGAAATTCATCGAAAAATCGATCAAGCCCATTTCCACTTCGATGGCTACGTCAAAAAAACATAACTGTTGCATCCGTGGCTTAGAACACCTAAGATTAAGTGTTGAAAAGCCATTCCAACAGAAACGTGTAACTGTTTGGAGCGGTTTGTGGTCTGGCGGTGTCATTAGAACTTACTCATCCGATAATTTGCCCCAAAATATTTCATTTTTCTAGAAGTAGTTATTTACATACCTTCAGAGAATTATATATTTATTTTTTAATTACTTGGATAGTTACTTAGATATACCGTCTTCTACTGCGGGCGGAAGTCCTAGTTTCGCTGCCTTTTATTTAAGTGAGATTAGGATCGACCAGATTCTTTGGCTCTGACTTTGTTTTCGACCTATATTCCCATTCTGAAAAGTAACCATCAAATCGATGTAGGGCAGGCAGGTAAGCCTTGTTTCTGCTGCTCTCTGGTAAGATTCTGAGGTTTCGATGCAAGCTAGCATCGCATTTTCTACCATTGCAAATAATAAGAACGTTCGCATGCGTGTTCTTATGCAAGCATTGACAAAAGCAGTCATGCCCGGTGAGGAACTGTGATAATAGGAGAGATAGGTCAGTCTCACTGTGTTGTCTTTCGATTCATTTGCTTACACTTGAGATCAGCTTCTTCGTAAATGTTCCTTTCTTACAAGATTTGTTTAGTTGGACTGTGCCTAAATTCTAGAGCCGTTGTGGCTACTATATCTACTGGACAGTATTACGAATGCACTCTTAGCAACGCCAATTTATGTACCGATTGATGCCACATACATTAGAATGGACGATCTGCCGATTGACTAAATTTGACTTTACTCACTTTCTCGCTGGAATATTTCAAATGTTCCTTGAAACTAATTAGGCTATCAAAAATAACTCCGAGATATTTAATGGTTGGTCTTGAGTTTGTCGTGCAGCCAGCCACCTACTCTCTCTTTTCCAGGTTCTAATTTTTCCGGACGGTCATTAGCAAAATGGTCTGCCAGCTCCAGCACCGCTATTAGAAACCAGGTTCTCACGGATGCTATGGTTTCATTGTTATATTGTATTATATCATGAGCACAGTGCAGGTCATATGTCATATGACCAAAAATCTCATATCAGTAAAATCGGTCATATATATCGCGGTTCCTGATCGTTTGAATGTACCAGTGTACAAATATTCTTGAAAAATCTCTAAAAAGGACTAGTTCGAGTACAAATAGACAGGCAGACGGGCAAATGGGTATGAGGAAATCAACCCAACTCGTCATTCTGACCCGATCAATATAAATTTTAATTGGCCTCTCCTTTTCCTTCTTTACTGGAACTACTACGACATATTCTCCAGCGGGGCGGTAACTTTAAGTCGACTCCCTCTATGTGTCCTAACTCTGAACCTACTAAATGTTGTGAGCTGGGAAATACATAGTCCCAAGACTAGTCTTGTAAAACACAGTTCGAGTGAAAAATTTCAATAAGCCTCTTATGTCCGGGAGGCTGCTGCTGCCCTACTCGGTGCTATCCTCGTAAGATTAATAGCGGTCATCGCCATCGTTCATGAATTGCAATGGACGGAATCGAGTATGTTCTGGTGAAACATACTAACGCCGGACATATAAACGAGTGAGAATTTGCTGCAGGATTCGTAGTGGGATCCGCAAGAGAGAAAGACGATGTGATAGAAGATGCCTAGAGTTGTCATGAGGTCCAAATTTTGTATGACGATTTTAGTGCCAAGACGGGCAAAGGAGATATCCTCGGTAAAACAAAATATAACAATCGGAAATAGCAATCGGAAATAGCAATCCGAATTGTAAGACATATGGTTGTCTGTCGATCACGTTGTGATAGAAGTAGAACATGTATGTAGAGTTCAAGCGGTGCGTCGGCTGTGAGGGTCTAACATCGATTCAGTTCGTTATCTTGTAAAATTAAAAATACGCATCCGCTTCTATGTAGTTAAGAACAGCTGTCTACAAACGCTAGCAAGTAGTCACAGAAAGCCAACATCTACTTGATTTGCACTTCTGCTTTCTGCGAGTACTCATCAACAACTCCGTATAAAGCAGCTTTGGGACGGTATTACCCACTCTCTAAGTATTAAGAAATGGCCAAGCGGTGTTTGGGCCAATAAAGAAGAAGACGTCGTATAGTCACCAACAAAACTATTGGTCTATTTTTTTTAAGAGCTGGAACGATGGAGAACTTCGAAATGCAATTTAGAAAAAAAAGGTGTCTAACTAGAAGTGCGCCCTGGAAGAGTTGAATATGGAAACGATACGTATTTTCAAAAAAAGGGGAAAAGCAAAATGCCTATACGCAAAGAAACAAGGCCGAAGAGTACTCCTATAGTACACAAAGAGGTGATCTAGCAACTAATGTTTATGTATAATTTGATTGTTTTGGGAGAAGCTTTCTTGGCGGCGAAGAACGATAGTGATTAGCCCCATTAGAAAATTTGTTCGCTTCTGCGCCACAGAGAAGGACGGAAATGTTGAGCAACATGTGGAGCTTTCTTTGCGTACTCAATCCAAAGTAGCA